GTGGAATATGACGTCATCTGCCGCCACCGTCGAGCTCAACGAGGCTTACCGTAATCGCTCCGGCCTGAAGCTGCTACATAATTTCTTCAATGGATTAACTGTGAATAGCTTCCAGAGATTAGCTGTGACTATGCAAAACCGCTTTTGACCAGCGTTTCAGGGACGTCGTAATGGTCTATGGTACCTCGACGACCTCGTTGAGCTCGTACCGTGAACCATGTTTCCGTGGGAAAATCTTCTGATGTCGTCGGTGTAGAAGGCTGTTGTGTACTTTTGATAGATTAGAATGTGCTCTTTAATATTCAGTTGGGTCATTTGGTTTGGTTTCGCAACGCGTAAATAATTCCGTTTTGAATGTGAGTGAAGTGTCTCTTTTTTGGCCACCCCTGTACACTCTCATTTATTCGAAAGGCTGGCAGCTCAGTTGCTCATTGTTTTCTTTGACGAACGAGAACGTTTTCGAATTCTCATGGAATCTCGAATGGTGGCTTGCTAGAAGAAAAGAGAAGTCATAGAAAAACCATGAAAGAAAAACAACTTTTTAGAGGAAATGAGTAAAAACCCTTGCGAACTCACAAAGACATGACCAGTATAGGAGTGCGTGCCTTCAGACTTATCGTATTGCTGTTGATTTTTATATGTACACCCTCTAAATACTATAATAGGTATTACCTCACAATCATCGCACTGCCACGAATTAATGTGCAAATTTCAGATTGACTGGCTTGAAATACTTGAGTACCAGCATTTAGGTTTGAGCCACGAGTGCGAGAATGATTGAAACGGAGATAGGTCACGATGAGGCACACCAGGATCGCCATGAAGAACATCACCATGAGGACAAGGATCAATGTGGGAAGACACTTGAGCACGACGAAGACCATCATCATTACAGCGAATACCATCTCACCGAATCACAATCGTCGCACAGTCACCATCATGAAGTATTCTCCTGGGCTTTGTTATTTTCAGTTTGAAAGTTATGTAGGAAACATTATATCTCAATTAACTCACACTCACATTCTTGGTACGGCGCACCCTAGTTTCGGGATCCTTACTGCATTTTGAGTTGAGAACCACTATGGTTGAGACACTAAGACCCTCAGAATTGTTCGAGAATTGCAATATGGAGGTGGCCTTGAGATGAACATGAAACAAACTAAGCAGGTTAAGCCCTGTGTCAATGAAACTGGCCTTTCAAATTCGCACTTTCTCAAAGCCCAAGCATCCTCAATCCTCCATTATGTGACACACTGACCAGATAAGTAGTAGTCAGATGGAATGGATAGTGATGCTTTTTGAGTTTTCATGACTGAATGTAACACTCTTCCCGATTCCACCTGCTTTTCCGTATAAATGGTCAGGATTTTGGGACCAAATCAATAGAAATTTAAGAAGCGTTTTTTTAATTGCTTGAAGTCGTAAAACATAAAAGGGCTTTCGGAAATTCTGATCTCATGGAACTCAAAAGCGAAACTCAATCTCAATCTTGAATCATCGAGAAGTTCCAAGGGAAAGAGGTTCATCAGTTCACTGCTGCCGATAATGATTCTTCAAAGAATTGCACAAATACCGAGACAGATAAAAACACGGCCGTGTTAGCACGCGAACGTTAGGTATCGCAACAAACTATATTATTTGACCCCTTCAATTTCTTTTAAATAACCCAGAGACATTTTCGGGGACTACAACGCTTATTCAGAAGCAGAAAGAACATTCACCAGCCCTCACCAGACTCGCACAGGAATGCCGACGCAGGTAGCTCCCACGGTCTTGGGAGTGGAGTTGGTTCACACATTTAGTGGTGGAGAGGCATGTCGGCCACCTTCTTCCTCCCTCCTCCCCCTCCCCTTCCGAGCAGCTGGTTGGGAGCCATGGCCAACCAAAGTACGTGTACCTTTTGAAAAAAAGTGTTTTTCACGCGTCCTCTGATTTGAACAGTTCAACCACCACGCTAATTGTAAAGTTCCTATGATATAATAATAACGTATGATAGCGCTTCTCTACATTTCACTAATTGGGACTCTCAGTTTGTGGTCCCTTTCTTGTATAATTTTGACAAATTACAACGTTTTTGAAGTCCAATGTGAGAGTATCAGTTGAAAAGTTTCATCTTAGAACAGTGATTTTCTTCCGTTTATTCAGATTGAGGACGAGCAGCTCACCTTTGATAGTGTGGAACATGCCCAAGAGAAGGAGCACGAATCTTCTATTGACCATGAGCCCGACTCATCTGTCAACGAGCTTGAACAGAAGGTACTACTTCGGTACAAGCAAACGCCGTCGGATCGAATTCTCGATGGCGCTCTATTTGCATGTTTGTGTGAGAGTGGCGAAGATCGAGCAAATTCGGTAACGTACCCGCGCCTTGCAATTGCACGCCGCACCAACAAAAATGTGCTTCACCTGAAAAGAAACGCTCATTTTAAGTATGTAGCTACTGAGATAGCATGTTTGAAATAGTCCAAGAAAACCGAGCTTATTTTTGAAAGTGAAAAGTTGCCTGAACTATTGTAAATTCGTTCCAGGTTGCGTTTATTCAGACGAATAGTTCAAAAATCAGTGGATGGGAAGAAAAGAATTACAATAATCGTGAAAAGCTTCAGAAACGAGCTTGACGATTTACAGTTCATTCACAACAGTGAACAGGGAAAGTCCCAAAGAAAAACAGAAATTTCACAACCACTGAAATTCCTAGAACTTTCTTATGATTTTTCCTGGTGCGCCACAAT